GAGCAGCGTGTACCCAGACACCGGAGACCCCCCCCTTCCCCACTCCCCATCCAGGGCGAGAGGCGCAAATCTTTGCGGGCTGAGAGATTTCTGCCGCCTCTTCTGCTTTGTGCTTCGCTGCCCGTGTAATTGCCTGCTAAATCCCCATTGTATAATCTTTATTGCTGATGATGCACAAAGAGGAGAGGCTCTGCCCTGGGCTGCTCAGCCACATCTTGTTTTGCTCCTCAGACCAAGTGGCCGAGAGGGAGCTCGGTGCTCCCTGCCTGCGGCACCGCTGCCATCCCTGCCGGCACGGGCAGGACGGGGGTACCGCTGCGCCGTCGGCTGCCGGAGGAGTTAATGGCAGAACTGCTGTGCCGGAGGAAAAGGCCTCTCGATTAATAATTCAGAGGGAGAAGGAACTGGCTCCAGCCTTCTGCCTTGCAGATGGGGAGCGCCTGGGAGAGGAGCATCACCCTCCGCGGCAAGGGCAGCGCGGTGTGGGGGCTGCAACACCCCCCCGTCCCTTCGGTGCTGGAGCTGGCACGTAGTGTGACGCTCCAGCTGTCCCTTCTCCGTGCTCTGGATCCAGCCCTTCTCCCCTTCCCTGGGGTGTCTCTGCCATCAGTCCCGTCTCCAGTTTCCCCTCATGGTGGTTTCGGGCGAGGGGACCTGCCTGTCTCCCTTTCAGGCTGGGTTTTGAGCTGGGTGCTGCCCCGCCGTGGGCACGGGGCACTCGGCAGCCCCCTCATGCCATGCCCAGGTTTGCAGAGCCCCCAGCCCTACATGGCACAAACTGTGGGTTCGGTGGGTGCTGGCGTCCCCTGGCTGCCTCCCCGCACCCCCAGCGCTCGGTCTCTGAGCCGGCTCCCCTCTGCCCGGCCGCTCCCCCCCAGAGGGCACAGAGCATCATCCCCTTTCCACCACATCCCCCAGTGTCTCCCAGCGGGTCGGGTCTGATTTCACCCCTCATCCACCCCGGGCAGCTGGTTTGGCTCTAAAGCTCCGCATCAGCAACGAGAGGAGACAGGAAAGGGCTCCCGAGTGGGTGTTGGGCAGCATCTCCCCCAAGCCAAGCCCCCTCCATGCTCTCTGGAGCATCGGTGGTGGGTCCCATAGGCACTGCTCACCATGGGGAGATAGGTGCCCACCAGCTTGGGGACAGGGTGCCAGCGCCACCTCGCTTGCACTGCTGGCCTCGGCCCTGGCCACCCCAGCGCTGCTGGTGATGCCTTCCCGCGGTGCCACGGGGCCGCGGTGCCCGGCGGGTGCCCGGAGCCCCCCGTGCCATTATGGAACCAGATCCGGCGGAGCAGTGGCCCTTTGCACGCCGTCACGTGGGCTGGTGGCACAAGCCCTCTGCTTTCCAATTTTAGAATCGCTGGATCAGGGGAAAAAATGTATTTTTGGAGTTTCATTTGCTTCAGCTTCAGAGTCTATTTTTTTTTCCCCTCCTTACTTTAAATGGGCCAAAGCCCCTCATGCCTTAACCCAGCTCTCGGGGACAAATAGCCCCAGAGCAGCTCCCTGTTAACTCTTCCCCTGTGTTGGCTGTTCCCAGGTGGCCCCCGTGTCCCTGGCAGGTCCCCACGGTGGCAATGGTGCTGGGGGCAGAGAGGAGAAGCTCTGATCCCCCTTCTGCAGCAGCAGCAGCCCTGCTGCGGTGCGGGAGCCCCCGTTTTCCTCCTCGCCTTTAATTTGGGGTTGTTTTGCCCAGGGAAGAGACCGCGGGGCTGTGGCAGAGCCCTACGGCCGCTGGAGCCTGGTCCTCCTCCGTGATGCCTGAGGGGCTGCCCGGGGACGTGCTGTGCCACCAGCCTGGGCTGGCACACGGGTGCCATGCGGGACTGGTCCCCATCGCAGGGGGGACCGGTGGGAGCGCTGTTCTCTCTGGGCACGGGGTTTGGGGGGCACCACGCGACAGTGGGGGCCGTGGCCGAGGCTGGGCAGAGAGCCCGTCCCGGGTGCGCCGGAGGGATGCTCAGGGAACGGAGGGGTCCCGCCGTGTGGGTCCCGCCGTGGGCACCC